GCAACACACATACGTCAACAAGATATGCGCAGTTACTTCCTGATAGTAGTCAATTCAAACTATAAAGTCTCAAAACCACCAACAGACCTGCACAAATATTCAACAACCAGCAAGAGTCAGCCTTCCACATATGTTAACTAAGACATGTGAAGTTACTTCCTGATAGTAGTTAACATTCAAACTATGAAGTCTCAAAATAAATGTAACACTATATTTAATTCTTCTTCTTCTGTGTTCTTGTATGTTGATGCTTAAAGAAGATGAAAAAACAAAGTGATGGACAATAAAAAAGATCTTGTTTTTTTTATTTTTTTTATTTTCCTTTTACTGACTTTAATGAATATGTTTTACATTAACCATGATTCATGTTATTATCCACATTCTGCAGATATAATAACAGTCAACAGACTCTTCTACTGGCTCCAGTTAGACCAACATTGATGCTTCATGTGTTTGATTCTATGAAAACTCAGTGAACTTCCTTGTTACTCAGCTATAAAAACTTCCCATCAGGCTGTCAGTGGAGTTTACAGCACGTCACTTTCAACTTTCAACATAAACCATGTTTTCTGCAGCTTAGCTTAGCATTAATGTGATGAAACTGTAGTGTAAATGTGTTTTCATAAGGACACCAATTGATATCACACATGTGATACAAAAATGTACATTTTGGTAATAATTATATATAAAAAGCTTCCACGTGATTTGTGGATTGAACACAATTTTTTTTTATGAAAACTATTTTTCTACAAAAACAAAATCCACACAAAATTGTTCTTTGTCCAGTCTCTCATATGACTAATTGCCAGACTGTTACAGGTATTTGCACTGTGCAGAAGTTAATCTGTATGTAATGTAATTAAAAAGTCCAGTTAGTAAAACCAGCAAGACCTCAGCAGTCCACTTACTACTAGGGGAGTGATGAGTCTTTCGTCCTGAATTATATGGAAAGTTTGAGTATTAAACACTTTATTTCCTAAATTCTGATTATTCTTTTTGCTCCAGTTTATGGTCAGTCATTCTGTGGTGCTATCACATCTGTTTCTCCTGTAGATCAACTTATTTAATATCATCCCTGCTGAGTCATGATTTAGTCTTCCCTTCTCTTTTGTGTGTTTCTTTGGGGAAGTAACCTCTTTAAATGTGATTGTGGCATGTTTTCACCTCAATAATAAATTATTTAATTTAAATTTAGTTATAAATTCCTGAACTTTATTAGCTCCTGTGTTTCAGCAGCTTTTCTGCTCATGTTCAAAATTTTCTGCACATTCAGAGTCCCTCCCACACATCTGTGGTCTCTGACATGTGCAGAAAAAGTCAGAATATTACCAGACTAACATCATCACTTAATGAGATGTTTATGCTTATGTTTATGTTGACAGTATTTGAAAATGTCAGTTGCGTGAGTCAAACAGCTTTTTACCTGATGAGAAATATTGTCATAATTTATTCTCGCAAGATCTCACAAGATCAAGAGTGTATGAGAACTTGTCACACCACTACTTATTACATTACATTACATTCATTCATTTAGCTGATGCTTTTATCCATAGCGACTTACAATTGCTATATATGTCAGAGGTCGCATGCCTCTGGAGCAACTAGGGGTTAAATGTCTTCATTAACTCAATTCAATTCAATTCAATTTTATTTATATAGCAGCAAATCCCAACAACAGTTATCTCACAGCGCTTTTCATAAAAGAGCAGGTCTAGACCATACTCAATGATGTTTGGTCTAGACCATAAGCCCAACAAATTAATGTCCATACTGCGACAAAATGGCGATGACTTAAACAGTTTGATGGCCACCAGCAGGAATGAGCGCCTCTGCCGCTCACTGGAACACTTTGAGTGTATGAGTCTTTGGCTGAAGACACTTTTTTTTTGGTCATGATATAAATCAGAGTCTTGCTTGATTACATCTACTACAGCAGTTCTTCTTTTGTAGCCTGTCAGAACAGCAGCAAGAAGTGTGTTACACTTCTTAACACCACCGGCTGAAATAAAAAATAAAGCAAGTAAATTCTGAATTTTAAACAGCGTTTTTTTCTGCACATGTAGCCTATTTATAAGAGCAGTAGCAGTTACAAAACGTTACGTTAACGCCACTTTCTCCCAATGAGTCCAAGCATCAATGAAAGCAGGTGCCAGAGTTTCTTTCTGTAAGTTTCATGTCGCTTTGCTGCTGCTGCAGAAGCTTCAATAAATCATATGTAGAAATGTTCGCAGTTGACGACAATGTTCTTTGCATCTTAGACTGTGACAAATTAATGGCTGTAGCTACTTACAGCTGGTGAAAGAACGCCTCCATCCCTCGTTCTCCATTCTTATAGAAATATATAGTTCTATTTCAGGAGTTCATGAATAATGATGAAAAAGATTCATGTTGTTCCATAATACAAACCAACGGAACAGCAAGAAAATCTCACTCTTTCCATCACAAACTGTAGTTTTATTGAAAGAAATGTTCAATTTCTCTCTTGTTCACAAATCTGTCAAAATCTGTGATAGTGAGAACTTTCTCCTTTCCATCCTCCTCACAGGTGTGGCATTTCAAGTTGATGTTGATCAGACAGAATGGGTATTGCCCAGGTGTGCCTTAGGCTGGCCACAATAAAAGGCCATTCGAAAATGTGCAGTTTCACTGTCCGGGAGGGTCCGGCAACTTGTCAGTATCTCATTAAAGCCAAGAAGACAGCAGGGATCTATAAAGTGGAGAAGTGGAATGAGAAAGGTTTTCATCTTTGAAGAAACTATAATTAAGTAATCAATTAATTATCATTGCAAAGAAATGTCTAGAAAGAATAGATGTAGTGTGCTTTTTTACAGATCTGTGTCTGCAGAAAGATGGAGTGAAGTGAAACATGAGTCTAGTGGGTGACCGGGGTCGTGTGCTATGGTGAGTGCTTTGCATGTGATGGCAGTGTTAATGAGGGCTGGGAGGTTGTAGACGCAGCAACCAGTAGCTCCCTTAATTTTCTCTACATTTTTGTTTTTTCATTTGCTTTTCCTCCACTTCAAGGAATATACATCATCAGTGACATCTGTAAATGTGTTGATAATGTGGTGATCACAAAGACGGTAAAATCATTCCCCAACCACAAAGCCTGGGTGAATGGAGAGGTGAGGGCTCTTTACCGAGACAAAAAAGGTTTAGGTCAGGTGATAAAGAAGCAAACAACACTGAGAGAGACCTCAACACCAACAACACCAAAGATATGTGACGGGGGATCAAAAACCTCATAGGCTACAAAAGCAGGGTCACCTCCATCATGTGTGGGGTCAAATTACCAGATGAACTTTTTATGCTCGCTTTGATCTCCTCAACAAAGACTCAGCTGTAAAGTATACTCCACCTCCAGAGAACCAGCCACAGTTAGTATCCAGAGCAGATGTGAGACAAGTCCTGCTGAGTGTAAATATGATTAAATCAGGACTGATAATATCTCACTGTCTCAGGAGTCTTTCCAACTGACACCACCATCATCCATGTACCAAAAAAGACATGATCATGTCACATCTCCACGCTGGTGAAGAAAGCTCATAAACGGCTGTATTTATTATGAGGAGCAATGGAAATCTGACTGGAAACATCACAAACTGCCATGGGATGTGCACTGGCCCAGGACCGGAGGGCTCTGCAGCATTGATTAAAACAGAAGATCAATGGTATCCATCTCTCGAACATCAGTGAGGTGAGGTGCCTGCAACCCAAAGGATACTAAAGGACAGTATCCACCGAGCCACAGCCTGTTCACCCTGCTGCCATCTGGAAAGAGAAGTATCTGCTGTCGCACAACAAGACTGGAGAGCAGCTTGTGTGGCTATGTGAATATTAAATTCAATTTCATCCAGCATTGCTCCATGCAATATAGTTTTCTTCTGTTTTACCATTTTACATTTTTTATATATATTGTCTGCTTTGTAGCAGAAGGGTACTAAAATCTTCATTTCATTTCACAATCCTTCTGTAATATGACAATTAAATGTATGTAATTGTAGGTTCAGGTTCAGATAAGAGATGAACTCTATAAAAACACTGCCTACTAACCAATCAGATGTCTTGGAAAATTACATCACCATTCATAGGAGATCCAATAGATGGTTTTAGAGGCTGCTTTTCTGTTAGCTGATGTGATACAGAGAGCTTTTTATATAGTCAAATCATCCTACAGAGACTGAAGTATGGGCTACTAAATCCTTGTAGGCTACTTGTAGGTTGTTAAAATGTGACAGTAAGCCTACTTACTGCTTTGAAATGTGTGTGGCTATCTTGTATTATAGAGACTGGTCATGGAGCGCTACACCTTTTGCTATAGGCACAGGTAATGTGGTGGAGTTTTCAGTAGCCTAAATGTTGAGATTCAGTCTTTTGATCACTATTTGAACACATTTTATAGCATGAATGGAGTTTTTGTTTCGTTGCTTTATGATGTTAATTCAGAGCAATAAATAAATAAATTAATCTAATTGTTGAAGTGACGAGAGTTGGAACAACCACTTATCTAGTGCCCGAGGCTTTTAATATAGAAAGGCCGACACACAGCCAAGCTGAAAGAACAAAGCTAAAGTTGACATGCATTCCATTAAAACGTATCAAATCAACACATTCATTTTATAGACTACACCTGTAGGCATTCACACTATCAGCTATTTTGTCTTCCTGCATGTGTCAGCTGCAGATGTGTTACTCAGACTGTGTATTTGTAAATATTCTTTGCTTGTAAAATATGACATTCTGCTGCCAGTAGACTTGTCAATTGTGATAAGTCATCGGCTGCTTACACCGCCTCTTTTGTGTGAAGATGCTCGTGTCTGGATTGGGAAACCATGGGTTGACTTACTGAGTTGATAAACAGTTCAGTAGGGAAAGATGACATCCAAATCCACTCTAGTTCCTCCCTGTGAGGAGGAGTCAATGCAAAACTCAGATGTCTTCCACCTCTACTTATCTGACTGCAGAGAGGATGACAGAGAACAGTGGACACACAGTTTAACATGATGGACTATAGGACAGGACTGCTGCTTTTAACTGTCTGCTGGGCAGGTGAACATTTTCACAGGTCTTAATTTTACAGAGCATTTCTTTCAGCAGCTTATTTCATTTGATGTGCTTTTATGATCTTAACAGGTGTTGATGGTCAGACTCTGACAGAATCTGAACCAGCGGTTAAAAGGCCTGGAGAATCCCACAGATTGACCTGTACAGCCTCTGGATTCACATTCAGCAACCACTGGATGCACTGGGTCAGGCAGGCTCCTGGAAAAGGACTGGAGTGGGTTGCCGCTATCAGTAATGGTGGTGGTAGCAGCAAATACTACTCTCAGTCAGTTCAAGGCCGGTTTACCATCTCCAGAGACGACAGCAGACAGCAGCTGTATCTGCAGATGAACAGTCTGAAGACTGAAGATTCTGCTGTTTATTATTGTGCCCGAGACTCACAGTGACTGGAGTTTGTGGAGCAGCTGTACAAAATCCTACCGTACTCTTCTTTACCAAAGATATCTCACACGATATCTTACACCAAACACAAAGTGAGATCCACTACTGTTTGACTAAAAATATTTCTAAACAGAGAGATGAATGCAGAAATTATGTTACTAAATAGGCATCTTGTTTGTTCCACAACAGAGCTTCATTAAAATTACTCATCAGAGAAGACAGTACCTGAATAATAAACTGCATTGTGTAGTTCAATGATTTTGCTTATTGACTAACATGAGATTTAGAAGTCTACATACATTTTTTAGTTTGCAGGAGTTTTGAATGGACTTAAAATTACAATATGCAAAGACTACCCAAGAGTCTTTTAGCTGTCCACTAATTTAATTGTCCAAGTTGTCTAGTATTTTGTTTCCTCTTTTTAATTTTGATATAAAAGAACACTTTCATATACATTATTTGACAGATAAACCAGAACACCTTCTCATGATTACTACAGTTGTTTTTTGCATATCTTCACACAGGTTTCAGTTCCCTAGTTCATTTCCTCCTGAGGCACCATGTTTTGAGATAGCTTCTTATTCATATCCTCATTGGTTGAGCTCAGGCAATTTACCGCCAGTTTGCTGGATCTGTTTGACATTGTGCATGCTGAATCTCTGACCTGAACAAAGAGAATTCCTTTAGGCACAGAGAGAGTAAGTGAGGTGTGGTAGCACAGGTCCGGTCGACAAGATGCTCCCTTAGAAATACAAAAAGTATCAAAAACGGCTAGCTAAGGAAGTGGATTAGATTTAGATTTCATTGCGCTGGCTCTCAAACCAGTTTGGGATGACCTCACTTAGCAGTAGCAAACAGTTTCCGTCCAGAGACAATTATTGTGAACTTCTGCAGCTGTCGCTTCTATTTATTCTGAGTGCAGTGCGGACGTAGCCTACACCTTCAGGCACTGGGCCAAGTGTTGCAACAGTCATATATGGTAAATGGTCTGTGTTTGTATAGTGCCTTTCTAGTCTTTTTCAACCACTCAAAGCACTTTACTCTTCATCACATTCCCCCAATTCACGCACTTATGAGCAGAGATTAAGACCAACTGTTCATCAGAAACAGAAAAGAACAAATTCACACACTGATGGGACAGCCACCGGGAGCAATGGGGTTCAGTATCTTGTCCAAGGACACTTTGACATGCAGACCGGGAGGCTGGGGATCGAACCACCAACATTTCAAATTAGCGGACGACATCGGCCACTTCAACACTTTCACAATGAAGGTCTATCTAAAGGTCTATCTGGTTTACATGTGCATGTGTTTCATACTCTCCGCAGAATGATCTGTAGCTACTCTGTGAGTTGGAGTGCTACAAGAAATCACATACATTAATACATTCTTTCTCTGGACACTAATGGATACTTAACTTTTGATTATTAACTTCTGAAGCAACTATACTAAACTGTATTAAAAGGGCCTGCACGCCCGAATCCATGTGTGATTTTAACAGCCGCTCACCTTCGGCTGCTGTCTCAGGCATGTTTGTCACTGTTGCAAGTTTCTCACCACAAGCTTGAATTTCTGTTGGTTTCATCTTCTGGTATCATTTAACAATTCTCTGTAAATTTTTATTTGCTATTTACATCAGTTATCACTGATCGATTGCTGTGTTCCATCACATCAATTAAGTGCTTTTGTTAGAGTTAGGGTTTGATGTGCAGCCTCTCTTTTCCTCTGTTTGTATCTTTAGTGTAGTTTAGTGACTTGTTTAAACAGACTGCTTTCTTGTTTTATACTTGTGACTGTCGTCTTTTTGCAGGTTTGCGACTCACCACTAAAGGAAAAAGCACTCGCAGAGATCTTTCAATTCAGTTTATTGATCGAAAGTTAACAAAATAATTTTCATCTTAAATTTGTTTCCCACAACTTATTTGGTCACTAAACTATTTCACTCCTCTCATTCAAATATAAAATAACTCCCAAGCTGTAGTCTTTCTCCTTTTAAGCTAATATTACCAGTGAGGATGACCTAATTAGGATGAGGAGCGATGTGATACATTTTCCCAATACTTTTTATGTAGCAGTCATTTGAAACAAGAAAAAATAAATTAGATAACCTTGCTTGTCCATAACAACAATAAAAATAATAATAGGCTGCCAATCAACTACTATGGCTTCAACAGGTGGCATTTTATGCAAGGTATCAAATTAAGTACTCTATTGGTATCGGTATCACTGGTATCCTAAAATTTAAAATGATACCCAACCCTAGCTACCAGTAAATATTATTTTTATTTAGTCAACTTTATTCTCACATTATTAACACATTTGGGGGTGGGAAGATGAAAATAAGAAACTTTATTTTTGAGTGGCATCCTCATAACCAACTGCAGCAAACTCAATAATTCATGAATTAATATTATTATTCACTTCACTTGTGTTTGCAGTAACAAAACAAAATAAAAATAAACATGTACATCCATCAATCTTACATTTACAATCAGATGTATTTTTTATCTTAGAAATTCTGAATTAAACATAATTAAAAAGTCAACAAAGTGAAGCCATTATGTAACTCCTTTGAAGCTGTCAGATTTTAGGAGAACATATTATTTAAAGGGGCTGTATGTAGCTTTTCAATGAAATCACTTATTAATAAATCAAATTTTCACCGCCTTATTGTCAATGGGCTCAAACCTCAAATGAGGCACACATCTGTTTTCACTGTTGCTTGCATCAGCCACTATTCTGCTCTAATTGTGAGGACACCGGGTCGGGATGCAGCTCTGTGCAGGCTCCCGAAGCTCTCTCAGACTACATCCCTGTGTTAAACTACTGATTTGTTATTTCGAGATCACGAGAAAAGTATCCCGTTATCATGGGATAATAACATTCGTTATCTCGAGATCTGGAGAAAATTATCACGGGTAAACGGAGTAAAAAAAAAAGAAATTAATTGATGGCCGCTTAGGGCTTCCGTACTTCATCAACTAATGTGACCAATATTACTGTCCTGTGTACCACAGTTTATTATGTCAAAGTGTTGATTTAGCCTTGCAAGAAAGGATTTAACACTAGATCCGCCAGGGTTTGTTGTATACCTATAACCGCCATAGCGGATTAAATTTACCAGCTATAAAAATGCCGTGATTTTGTGATTATTTCTGCTACATGTTGCTCCAACACACTTTGGGAAACATTTAGCACATTGGCTGTGCATTTCCTATAAACACCATCCCCATATTTCAGGCATTTACCGAATGTTTATTCTATTTTATTCATTGTCTTCACCGTGCAGGTCGTTCACCTTCATTTTTTATGGCTTTATATTGACATTTTTTAACAATAGGGGGTGCTACATAAGACACTTTTAGGGAAAGTCAGAGACTGGGGGACTTGAATATTATATTGAAAAAAAGATACATACAATCAAAAAACAGCTGCGGGTAAATTTGACCCGTTGGCGGTTCTAGTGTTAACAGTAAAAAGCAAATGTGAAGTGATTTGTTTTCTAGTCTATAGTGATGTGAGGCAGGAGCAGCCAGCTAACGCTACAGTAGCTCAGACCTGCCACTGTTTGCTTCGTAACGTGCTGTTTAGATTTATTGTCGTTTTACCGATACTCAGGTACACAGCTTCTCCACGGTCTCAGACCCTGAAACTAACGTGTCCCATATATTATACAAAAGGCAACTGCAACAAAACGGTGACAACAACACAGAGGAAGACCCATCCACTAACACTACAGTAAAGTTACTTATTGCGATCTAAACTGACTGTGTTTAGATATTGATCCTTTTACAGTATATGAGTATCGATCCCATAGCAGGAAACTTTGGTATCAGAAATATCAATACTTTAGGATCTATTCTCACATCACTATTCTGTAGCTACTGTCACACTGCATTTTTTTCCGGGAGTACTGTGCCAATATGCTGGTGTCTCTCTGCACTGAATGAAAGGTATGGAGCGGGTGTTGTTCTGCCCCTGAGCCGGGAACATTGAAGTAACAGAGCCTGAACATGTCTGGAGAAAGCTACAGTCAGCATGTCGGTGTTTCCACGTTTAATGTGGGATGTCTGTATGAAAGCGGTTGTGTTTCGGATTATGTTCGCTCATGGTTGCAATGTTAGAACTGCACCCCTAGTGGCTGCTGAAAACTCCAAAAAGCCCCTTAAAATCAAAATCCTTTGATGAAAACTTATCATGAAAAAAATAATCACATTTTCTAAATTTACTCAGCAGTTTTTGTGGTCATGGAATTACGTCTTAAATAACTATTGTCATATTGTTAAATGCTTGGGTTTTTTTGTTTGTTTTTGTTTTTTGTGTCATGCTGCTTTTAGACATTTGAATTTGACTGTAAAAGCAGAATGTGATGTAGGAGGAAGTCACCGTAAACATATTCTCACAGGGATCAAGTTTACATAATATTTTAAGGAGGTTCGTAGATTTAAAAACAGACACAGCAGTGTATTACTGTGCCTGAGAGACACAGTAAGAGACAATTACAGGAGAGTCATAGAAAAATTACTACCTCTCCACGACTGGGAACATTATAATCATTCTGTATTTCAACATTTATTGGAATGCTGATTTTTGTTAATGTGTTTTTATAATGTAATAAACATTTTAAGAACATTAATATCAATCCAAGTCTTCCAATAGCACATAATGATCTAAAAACACATTTAGGTGTAAATAAAACAATTCTGGTTGACATTTTTCTATTTTTTTATTGCAGGACAGAGGAGAGTTGAAATGGCCATCACTGATAAACTTTTCAAAATAAATGTATTTTCTTCTGACATAAGTAAGTTAATCTAAAGCAATTTCAGGAGTTTTACATACAGTATGTGTGCTAGTGATGGTAAGATTCACAGAGTTGCATTGGTACACCGGCATGAAAGTTCAAGTGGCAACTGGCCGGATTAAATAAGTGTTCACATCTCATCTAAGTACAATGTAAATGAGGTATTTAATACAATTTCAAAATGGATATTTATTTATTTTTTTTAGAACAAAGTCAAATTTTG